TCTCTTTCCTGTTTCATGCAATCCTACATACACGTGGCTCAGGAAATCTTAAGACACAGTTCCCATTAGTCCTTCCATGTAGAGAACTTCCATAAACACTGGATTCATCACACAGCTTGGATTAGTCACCATTACTTCCTACCTTCTATCACGGTCATTCTGTATACAGGTCTTTAATCCCTAACCAAACTAAGTCTTCCTGAAGAAAGAGTGTCCTATGCTTGAGAACCAACTTCAAGTAGCATGCAATAGTGCTTTTAACAGCACAAGACTGTGATTATTTATTCAAAGGAATATACATGACCAATACTCATCTCTCTTTAACACATATAAACCAAGTATATCCCTTTACTACGCTACTTTTTCCTAAAACCTTATTCAATCATTGACTAAAAGGTACATCGCCACTTTAAGAAGCTGAAAATTAAATCATAAGAGCAAGGTTACCATTTGGGAAAGAAGGGGAAATACAATTACGCTGGATGGTGGGGGGGGCGGGAAGGAAGGTGCAAATCTAGTGGTGCTCAGAGGTCATTCCTGGCAATGCTTGGGAGACCATATAATGTGGCTTGGATCAAACCAGGATCAGCCACAAGAAAGTCGAGTGTCTTAACCCCTGTACTATCTCTTCAATGCCAAAGTTGCATTTCTTAGTCTGATAGGTATCTTTATTATTTATGCTTTTTACATTCACTATATCTTTTTGGATGTCTGGAATAACAGAAATGTACGTACTTAGGCATATGTATTAAAAATAAGTCCCATTCTTCCCCCCAAAGTTTTATTACATTTAATTATTCTGCAGTTTAATATGTGCTTTACTTTTGAACCAGATTGCCAAAAAAAAGTTTCAACATATTTGAGATTGATCTTCATGTGGCAATGACTCATGAGACTAAAACTTTCTCACCCCTCCCCATCAAAGCTTGCTCAAGCTAATGATAGACTGAAGCAAACCTAAATGGATTATGATTGCCCTTAATGCGAAGAAATATACCTGTGATCCTATGACAATTGAAAAATCCTAATTTGGGTTTTTGAAATTTTTTTCATTAAGGCAGAAGTATTGTTTTATAAGTGGCACTTTCCCCACCCCACCCCCTCACGCCCCCCCAACCATATGTTGGTCTAGCAAGAGTAAGCTTATTTGTGAAAAACTTACTCTGTGTGATACACAGCTTACTGGGACAAGTTTGACAGGAAAAGTGAATTGCATTTTGAGAACCCTATTAAGTCACTCTTTTTTGCCCAAGTAGAAAATGCCACTTTTCAAAAATATTTTAAAATATCTGAGAAAGTAAAATGTCTTTCCTTAAAGATGTTTCTAAGTGAATACAAATTTTAATAAACTATAAACTGTAAACTTAGCTTACAGTAAAACAAAATCTACTTCTATCATAAACTTCATTTCCCAGATGATTAAAATATTCAAGCTACATATAAGTACAATTGCCTATAAATTAATAGACAAATTCAAAGTGTTCATTGTTTTGTTTCACTCTGATTAAAATTTCAAACAGTTAAGAATCAGATGGAGCTTTTTTTTTTCTTTTTGGATCACACACAGTGATGCACAGGCATTACTCCTGGATCTGCACTCAGGAATTACTCCTGGCAGTGCTCGGAGGGCCATATGGGATGCTGGGAATCGAACCCAGGTCAGCCACATGCAAGGCAAATGCCCTGCCCACTGTGCTATCGCTCCAGCCCCAGATAGAACTTTATGGGAGCTTTATGACCACAAGAGATTGCAATTTATCTTGGGTAGGGTTTTTCAAACACTTGGGAAGATCCTGATATTGCTAGAGTTGACATGAAATTTAAAAGCATTTTACAAAAAAGTCCTTAATAATTCAGTAAATACTGACATATTGTTTACTGACACTTTCCAGAAAAGCTTCTCTCTCGAAGACTTAAAAATTCCCAAAGGAAATATGGAAAACATACGTCTGAATTTGAAATTAAAACTTAAGTGATGATGCTGATATTAAAACCTAAGAATTAAGAGTTTGTCCATCATACTTCTATACATGCTGAAGTTAACATGAAAACTTAATTAGTTCTAGTTTGATACAGCTTTTCCTTTAGGTTCAACGACCTGGACACAAAATTTATGCTTTAATATGGTAGACTTAATTAACCCCACTTAAATTTAAGGGGCTCCCTGGGAATTACAAAACACACTATCCTTTACTAATTGTCAACTTTAATTCTACTAGGCAACCACCTCCTCATCAAATGACAGACAACTCTGTTGGGTCGTCCACCAACATTGTGGTAACCCTGGCCAGGAGTCCACAAACATGAACTATACCTTTTCCTGTCCTAGCTACAAGAGGGAGAACATATCCTGCTCACTAGTTCAGCGAAATGGAAACTCTGGTTCACAGGCACAACCTAGGTATGTCATAATTTTAGTCTCCTTGGAGACGGACAATGCTGAATCCCACAGCTCAGGTCTCAAGAGGGAGGGTGCATGCAAAACTGCAGGTGAACCCAGCCATATCAGCCATTGTCCTTGAATGTTGCTCAGACAGTAACCAAGATGATGATGCAGCCTCTCCTCAAGAAAGTCAATTTTACATTGGGCAAAGGGAGAAAAGCTGATGAAGGAAACATTTAAACTGTCTCTAAGCACAATAAAAATCCTAAATCCCTCCCTTACTCTCACCCCAGGGGAGTCCTAAACTCTAGAGAGGATCTCAACAATACTCCCAGCCAGGGAGGAAGAGGTTAGTTACATCATGGAGTGGAGACCAGCCAAAATGCCAGGAGCATAACCAACCTACCGGAACTTCAAAGGCTGGGGGTGGCAGGTGGGAATGAGGGCAGGTTTACTCTGAAATGGACACACAACTCTGAAAATACGATTACTGATATTTACTGCAGAGGAACAGGTTTTTATTGCCCTTTCAACACCTGGGATAGAAAGAAGAGGCCAGATGGGACTGCCAGAGGAACATCCAGCCTGCAAGAACTCACACCTAAGAGGACCCTAACCAGACACTTTTTGTGGACTCTCCCTTCTTCATCCTCCCCCTTCTCAGCACCACTCCAAGGGGGGATATAGGTCTTAAACCACACACAGTAACTGCACAGAAAGAAAAAGGGTAGAATTAATGCCAAGAAAGAGGCAAGAGTATTTCTTCTGTGACCATAATGCCTGCTCCTGACTCATCTATTTCTACCCATCCCAAATTTGTCTCCCCAATTTTTCCTTTTGTCACAGCCAGTGGTACTCAGGGCTTACTCCTGGACTTGCACTTAGGTGTCTCTACTGATCATAAGTGGGTTGAACCAGGGTCAGTGATCAGCAAGGCAAGTCTTCCTGATTCTCATCTTTGGCTGCCAACTTCTAACTTTACTCTCATCAATAGTATCCATGCCACTTTTCTACATGCCATGGGTTTTCTTCCTTTTAGTTTTGGGGCCGCATCCAGTGGTGTTCAGGAATCACTCCTAATTACTGATCAGGAGGATCTTATAGGGTCCTGGGAATTAAAGTTGGGACAGTTTAATGGATATATACTATATCTTGCACATATATCTTATGCAGTCAAGGTATACTATCTCTCTAGTCACCCCTCCCTACGTCCTAATTTTAGCTCAACTTCCCACCAGCCAGCAGCAGTAATAAGACATGCACACAGTGGTAAGAGCATGAAAAAAACAGCACCCCTCACCACCTGCAGCTCAGGGCAGAAGAATGTCAGGTCTGCCAAAAAGGAAATAAAGTGAGCTGGCCTAAATATTCTTGTAGCATTACTGAGTAGTCTTTGTGTTCACCTGAGGGCAAAATACACATCTCCACAAAGGTCAGTATTACTACTATTTGGGGGTTTTGGGTCACACCTGACTATGCCCACGGGTCACTCCTAGAGGTGCTCAGGAAACCATATTATCAAACCCAGTAGGCTGCATGCAAGGCAAGTGCCTTAACTGCAGTACTATCTCTCTGGCCACAGGCCAGGATTCATTATGTTTCTGTCTTTAAAAAAGGGGGGGGGCAGAAGAAAGGGAAGAAAAGGGATCTAAGTTCACAAAATACAAATTAAGGAATTAAGGACCAACACATTGTGAATTGGGCCCCTACGTGCCCCCCATCTTCCCTCCCCCCCACACACACCTCAAAGGGAGCAAACACAGGCAAGTTCCTTAGTGGACTTAAACCCAACTATCAATACATTTATAAGCACTAGCACTATCCTCCCATTGTTCATTGATTTGCTCGAGCAGACACAGTAACGTCTCCATTGTGAGACTTTTGTTACCGTGTTTGACATATCGAATACGTCACGGGGAGCTTGCCAGGCTTTGCCATGCGGGCGAGATACTCTTGGTAGCTTGCTGGGCTCTCCGAGAGGGGCAGAGGAATCGAATTCAGGTCGGCCATGTCGGCCGCATGCAAGGCAAACACCCTACCCGCTGTGCTATCACTTCAGCCCAGTACATTTATAAAAAGTTGTAAATTCATAATATCTGTTACAGACATTTCCAGATATAAGGTAAAGATATAATGGTCATCATGAGAAATATTAACTTCTCTAAAAATAACTTTAAATGTTAAAAAAAATTTTTAAAAAACTACCAAATGCTTTTCAGAAGGGTGGTTACTGTTAAGTTTTGATCAACTAATTTTTGGCCAAATTTTGTTATCAAAAATTCTAAAATGATGGTATAGAGAAAACAAAACAGTCTTGGAAGTACTACACTGGCTGGCTTTTCCTGTTCCCTCAATGTCAGGAGGCCAGAATCAAAAGAAAAGAAAACTCAACTGGCAAAATGTACATGCACCGAGCTATTCCTCTACTCTGCACATAATTCCAAGAATTTATATTAGCTTAATAGACCTTGGTAACTGCCCGAAGAAAAACACCCTCCCAAACACATTCATTTGAGTAAGGCATTCCTGCACGAGGCACTCAAATTTCACTGACAAATGGAGGGCCATTATGCAAAAATCTTCAAGGAGGGAGAAATCACTGAAAATATATTCTTACCATTCTCACTGGGCTCTGCTGGCTTGGCCACTTCTCTGAACGGAATTATAACTGCATCCCCGGGCACTCTGGGGCTTTCCACATACTTGGGCTTCCTGACGGGACCTGTAGTGGGAAAGATCTGAGTGTGGCTAATTTTTTCCAGATGCAAACAAAGCTTCAGAATGTACAGTGTGTGTCCTCAGCAAGACCCAAATATGTCTAAAGGAAGAGCCGGCCCCTTCCCCTCCCCTGAAAACACACACACACACACACACACACACACACACACACACACACACACACACTCATTTCAGCACAGACTCGGGAATGTCCAGTCTGTGCTGCCAAAGAAGACATGGGTAAGCTGAGCTTCGAAAATGTAAACTCTGACATAAACAAAAGCTGCTTCTTTTTTTTTTTTCCTGTGAAGTCTGTACAGCTGTCTTCCGTGTATGTCAAGTCAGTAATTTTTGACATGTTCAAACCTGGGCAGCTTGTGGTAAAGAGTTTTTATATTTGGAATTTTTTTCTAACTAGGACAAAGACAGTTGGGTTGCTTGGTATCTCCAAAGTCAGGAGGCAAGGATTACGAGCAGCCAGTCATAATATCAACACACTCTGAGTAGCCACAGAACGCAGGCATTTATCAGCCCGGTGACGCATGGCAATTGTGTGGCGGAGAAGATGACCGCTTTCTTGGCAGCTGGCAGGGCTGTCTTCAAATATGCACAGCAGCCAGCCTAAAGTGCAACCGAGAGACCCGAGAGCCTCGTACTCATCTCTCTCACTGCTCTCTCCACCCCAATTATCAAAGGAAAGCTTAGAGTTCTTAACAAGACAGAATGGAGCCCTCACACACTGCTGGTAGAAAAATAAAAATGCAGCCACGTTGGAAAACTAAAGCTAAATCCAGTTATCATATGCTACAACTCCACATCTACACAGATGTGTGTTCACACCAAAACCTGTACATGAATGATATAGCAGCACCATTAATGCTGGACAAACGCCCAACAACTGATGACAACCAAATAATATATTCCCTATGTTTATGATGTTTCACACAATGGAATAGTAGTAGACAGTAACAAGAAACCGAGTGCTGATTTACTCTGCAATGTGGATGAGATGGGAAAATACCATGATAACTTAAAGAATTCAGTCCCCCAAACCCACAAATTACATAGTGTCATTTAAAAGCAATGTCTAAAATAGGCAATCTATAGAAACAAAGTATGAATGGCTGCTGGAGTGTGGGGTATATGGATTTAGGAGGATGGCTAAGGAATCGGAAATTTCTTTTTGGAGGATAATAAAAATGTTCTGAAAATTGTGGCAACGGTTGCACAACCCGTGAATGTATTAAAAATTACTCTTTTCACTATAAAGAATAAATTGTATGGTATGTGAATTCTATCTAAATTAAGCTGCCTTAAACACCCCCACCCTACAAGGCAGCCTATCCTTTAAGCATCACATTATACTTTGGTCCAGAATCTTCTACCTGACTGCTTTAGTTGCCTTATATTTAAAGTAAGCTTTTAGGAAAGCAACAGAGACAGGTACTTTATATCTGTAAGGGAATGTGAGGTAGGGGGTGGATCAGACAGGGACCATGGTCCTCCTCCTGCTCAGCCTCCAGTCACATCCCCATCCCTCTCAAGGGCTCCTTTACAGAACACTGGCGGGGGGGGGGGGGGGTGACTTAGGCAGATTCTGAGCAGCCTCCCACGCCAAACATCTTACACTACAAGAACTTGCATTTGGAATATAGCTTATGGTGAGAGATGCTGCCATCTAAAGGCTAACTGCAAAACCCACAGCACTATGAAACTTGCCCAACTGGCATGCAGTTAACACACAACATGCATGCACACCTTACAATTGGCTGTGTTATCGAAGGAGCTTATAGTACTTGATTAGGAGCAGTAATTTCTCAAACTTTAAAATGACTGGTTTTAAACGGGATTATGTAGAGTTTAGTCATATGGATGTTTTCATAATGCATTTACCCTCATCACAAAGGGTATCTTGGGGGATTGTTTTTTTGGAGGGAAGGCACAAAACTGATGGTGCTCAAGGGGTACTTCTGGCAGTGGGTTCAGGGATCACTCTTCATGGTACCTGAAGGACCACGAGTACCACCTGCAAAGCATGCACCCACCCTTTGGGTATCTCTCTAGCCCAGAAAGGGATTATAAAAATATGTGCAGTGGGGAGAGATAAGCAAGAAGAGGGTGGGAGGAGCTAAGATATTTTCTATGGAAGAGACTGAAACCACACAGACGGGCCTAGATAGACCCAACAGAGGGGAAGCACTAGGACTAGTACAAGAATCTTTCTATACATTTGCTTTCCAACACAATCCTTGTGGGGTAGAATAATCATTAAAATCACTAGTATCTCTTCCTGTTATCTGTTTTTTTCCAATTAAAGAACTTAGGGAAGGTAGAGCTCATTATTATTATTATTGTGTAGTGACTTGAACTATACCAATCAACAATAATGCTCCTTAAGAGATATCTGTAAGTCTCTGCTCACCTAATTCTTCAGGGAACAGTGGCATCAAACCTAAATAGATCTACTTCCAAGCTCCAATCTACCCATCACATATGCCCTTCAAAAATATTCCCTAAGTGCTACCTTAAAATGTGGTTATGAGTGGCTGAAACACCAAACCCCAATGTCACCCAGAGCCCTCTGAAAGCATCCATATTCATTTACTCACTTATGGATGTATTCTGTTCAAGAGCCCAACCACTAGTGATAAAAAGAATAACATGTAGGAGTAAGGTGTTAAAAGCAGAGTCTGAAGTGGGGCAGACCGAGGTTCAGATGCAGCCGCCCCTCCCACCCTCCCCAACTCCAGTGGCAATAAGTCCAGAGAAGACTAAATGTGAGCCTCCTGCCACAAGGGTATTTTGGGGGATTGTTTTTTGGAGGGAAGGTACAAGGAAATCCATGAGAGTAGAAGCCAGGCTAGTCTGGTTCAGTGAACAGTGATGCTCCATCTAAAGAAAGCCTAGAATGAACCACAGCAAATAAAGCCAAGAATACACACATATTTAATTCAAACACCTTTTCTCCTTTCTTTTTTTTTTTGATTTTTGGGTCATACCCAGCGAGGCTCAGGGTTTACTCCTGGCTCTGCACTCAGGAATTACTTCTGGTGGTGCTCTGGAGACCACGTATGATGTCAGGGATCAAACCCAGGTTCGCCACATGCAAGACGAATGACCTACCCACTGTACTACGTTGTACTATCACTCCAGCCCCAAACGCCCTTTTCTCCAATCCATTAAACAAGTGTCTCAAGGCACACATAAAGAAAAAATTCAAACGGTTTTCAGTTCGTGTAATGTACCACCACTTAGCACTTTGCAACCAGAAAATCTACATAAAACATGCAATTCTAGAAAACTTTAGAAAACCCATAAAGAAGGCCAGAGCAGTGAAATCTTCCACCATCTAAGTATCCATATTCCTTCACTATATAGTCAGGAAATCTTTTATTTGTTCTTGTCTCTCATCTCCTCTAACTTTAACTAGTTGAAATATTATGAAGTGACTAAACTACTCTACAATGGAATCCTTTTTATTTAAATTGCTTCACACAAACAGCTGAACCTCAAAGGCAATAAAACCCAATAAATGTATAACTACAAAGATTTTATTCTTTCCCCCTCAATAACTCATTAGAGAATTTGTGTGCGCTTTCTATCAAACATAGCAGATAAACCCTCATTTGCCTTCATTTTCTCTCAAAACACCAATAAAACTGCAGTAAAGGGATTTCAGAAAGACCAACAAGGAAAGGAGATGAACACAGGCAAGTAACCCAGCTTCTGAAAGTGAGAAAACAGACTGCCAAGGAGCTATGGGTTAAGAATGCCAGAAAATTTGAGGGGGAAAGAACAGGGAGAACTAGAGGGAAGGGGGAGGGGAAACCTCAAGACACCAGACACCTCTGAAAGTCCAGGCAGGGGTTGAGGTGGGACAGAGAATTAGGATCTCAGCTCAAATAAAATCCAGTCAGACAATGACCTTCTCCTCACCCTGCCTGCCACAGAAACCCTCTCCCAGTCAAGGGACATCTGTCCCTCATCCTGGTGGCTGCAATTTTCTCTAGAAAGGCTGAATCTTATAACTACGCTGTCTCAAGAGCCACACTTGAAAGCTAAACTGAAAACAAAAACAAAAACAAAAGGTATTCTGTAAGATGGTGGAACCCTGATGGGTTCCCATGTGAGAACGCTCATAGCAAGCTTGCAATATAGGAGGGCATTCCGCTCCAGGGAACTTGCTAAGAGAAAAGACATAAAAACTCCTCAGTTTAGAATATGGCCTCAAAGAAATTGCAGGCTCCTGACTAACCACACTTCCATAAAGTCTGCACTCAACACACACACACACACACACACACACACACACACACACACACACTCCTGTGAGTCTTCTTGTAGTACCTCCTACCAAAATGGATCACCAATCAAGAAAAGATCCCATCCTGAAAGAATGTCACCAAAATGGGTTGAAAAACAGAACTCAGGCATCAAAGAGAAAAGAGGAATGTCACTCCAGGAAAAAAAAAAAACCCAGATCAAAAGTTTCCACCGCAGCAGGACCATATAACATGGAATACACAGGTCTCAATGCTGTCAGCTGAGCCGACTGAGTGCGACACAAGGCCCACTGCAGGCAAAAGCAGTCAGGAGGCACTGCGATCCTCAGGCACAATGCTTTCCATCTATTGAACCACAACACACACACTTCTATGCCAGTGAGTGGAAAAAAACTACCCCTAAATGAAGTTGCCCATCCCTGATGCAGAGATCAAAACTCAAATATCCGTCTCACCAACACCTTCTTCTTAGGAGAAACCTACCCTGCATCACTATACACGTCTTTTTGCTCACCAAGAAATGCCCCACACTCCCAAGCAAATACATTAAAGCAAATTAATCCCCAACCCGGCTTTATGAAAACCAAGTCACACACTGTCACTGCTCTCCAAATTAACCAGAATATTGTACTATGTAATAAGCATCCAGAACTCGTTACATTATAAGACAAGAGGCTCTTAAGAAGACAAGACTGTCAGACTCAGCTTGAAAACTGGCTCA